TAGGTTCCAGGCCCTCTCGAGGCTATCCTTTATTTTCTATCTGTTTATCTCCGCAAGATTCTCCGCTATAAATCCTTCTATCTAATATTTCCTGCTGCTCGCACTCAAGAAAACTCTGGGAAGCTGTGGGGGTGGTGGGTAAACGCCCCACACAGGTGGCCTGGCCCCAGGGGAACTGTAGGCAGCCCAGCAGAGGCTGTGGCCCTCTAGCCCTAGTGGGGTGACTCGGTCCACTAGTCTTAGCTACTGAATGTGGACTAATTATGTCCAGGGACGACCCAGGGACCTCTGTCACCAGTGAGCTGCTACTCTGCTTTCAACAGAGACTGAGGCTCTTGGACATGCTCTCTTCCATGTTAATTCCTTTTTATTTATTTCCCTCCACTTCTCTGAGACCCTTCAACATCCCCATCTAGTCCCCTTGTTAATTCCAACCCTGACCGATACACAGCCCCTAGTTCAAAGGCAGGGGTGAGCTGAGGGACATTTCTAGGCCTTTCTATTCCACTTTCCATTAGAAAGAGATGATGGCACCTCTCAGCCTCTGAGCCCTGCACTGGGTTCTGAAATCCACACAGAGCAGGGATCCTGCAGAATTCTAGTTTGCTTGAAGGGAACTAGTCTCCTCAGTCTTCTCTCTCATACAGCGACCCATTGATCTGCATCTCTTAGCTGGTCCTGACGTCACATTCCCCTCTCTGGTGTCCTTCATAGATTCTTTTGGCCGTCACGTGGCCACTGCCTTGCCTGGGCCCTGACCCAATAAACTAGGATAATAGCTTCCCTCGGAATGCTTCCTATCTGTATTCTTCCATCCTCACCCCTGAACGCTTTTCTGTCTAGTGCAACCCGGAGCCTGCCTCTCCGCTCTGCTTGCTCCTGTTATCTGTGCACACCGTAAATTGTTCCCCCCTCTCTGCTCCCCTCAGCAGCTTTGATAGAACCCATTCGGAGCTGCAGGGAAAACATATTTGCACGTACGTGGAGCCCTCTGCTGGTACAGGAGGAGTAGCTAATGAAACTGCTGTGGAAGAACTGAAGCAGCCTTCCTGTTCACCTCAGCCCTCTGACAAACCTGTTGGATTCCCACTTCTTACAGTCACGGACTAAAGGCGCCTGAGACCCCGGTCTTGTGAATAACCACTGTCTGTGATGTTCTTGAGTTCTAGCCACAGGCCAGGCACTGATGAATCTCTTCCTCCCCATTGTAACTCATAAGCTGGGGGTGCAGACCATGAATTTAGGAGGTGCAAACCCTGGGTTATGTTCTCATTGTGTTTGAATTCCCCCCCCCCCACACACACACACAACTATCTATTCCTCACAGCCCTAAACCGTGACAGACCTAAGGATATGAGCCCCACTGAGGAAGAACCCTTAGAAGTAAGACAAAGGAACCGGCCCAGGGAGGTGGCTGAGCATGTCAAGGGCTTGCTTCCAGATGCCCAGATCTGTGTAAAGGCAAAGTGCACGAAGTGGCCTGCTTGTCACTGTGATCTCTGCACACAGACGACAGAGATGGGGAACCCCGGAACAAGCTGCTAGTCAGAGGCTCAGGAAGAGACCTTTTCTCAGAGTGAACAGGGTAGAGCAATCAAGAAAGACACCAAGGAGCTAGGAGATGGCGCACAACCTTAATCACAGGACTTGGGAGTCAGAGGCAGGTGGATCTCTGAGCTCAAGGCCAACCTGGTCTACAGAGTGAGTTTCAGGACAAGGCTACACAGAGAAACCCTGTCTCAAAAAAAAAAAAAAAAAAAAGAAGAAGAAGAAGAAGGAGGAGGAGGAGGAGGAGAAGAGGAGGAAAGAAGAAATAAAGGAAGGGAAGATAGGTATGGACAACACCCTTGAGCCTCCACCCTCACACAAATGTGCCCACATATGCTCACACACATGCACACCACATATACATGAAAGGAAGAAAGGAAGAGGCCCAGCCTGTGTGAGATAATCATCAGCTACAGGCTTCCAAGCAAGACAGCACCTGGGGTGGGGTGCGGGGGTGGGGGCGCTCCTTGGGGAGCAGGAGTAACTGAACTGGGAGCAGTGGACCCTTGCAGCAAGACGTAAAATGAGTGCTGTGGCCAAGAGGGGCTGGTGTGCACATCCTACCACAGTCCAAGCATTTTCAACAACATCAACCGTAATGCCTGGGACTCGGCTGCACAAATGCGGACGGACTCAGTCTTCCATGCTTGTAGATACTCCAGACTGCCAGTGTTTTATGTCCTCCAGGGTCACATAACCTTGTCAGGTAGAGGTCACGACTCCATCTTATGAACAAGGAGGGTGAGCACCCCAGGCTGGATTTGAACTCAAAGTTCTCTCGTCTCAGCTCTCCAGTGGCTAGGATTCCAGGCCTGGATTACTGCTCTATTTTGAACTTCAGATCCATTGTCAATATTCAGGGTCATGTCCTTCAGGTTTCCCAGGACACTGCCCCCTGGAGCCACACCCTCTTCCATTTCAACCTGTCTGACCCCAGGAGTTACAGTCACATCCGCAGCAGGCTGCTCCTGTAGCTGGCTGTGAGTCTGGCCATTTGTTGCCCAGCCTGGCATGGATATTGAGTTTTCTCTGTCCTCTCTCCATGATTCCTTACAGACATTACCAGACTCAGCATTCTTTGTCCCTTGGCATAAGCAGACACAGTGGCCAATTATTGTGGAGTTCTCTTGAAGTCTTCCTGTCCTTTCTCAAGTCTTTGTTTCATACTTTCTTTTTTTAAGATTTATTTTATTATTTCTGTTGGTGTGTATGTATGTGCACATGTGTGTAGGTGCCTGTGGAGACCAGAAGAGGGCACTAGATCCCCTGGAGCTAGAGTTACATGTAGCCGTGGGCTGCCTGTTGAGGATACTGTGAACTGAACTCTGATCCTCTATATGATCAGCAAACACAGCACTCTTAACAGCTGAGCCATCTCCAGCCCCAAGATTTTAAAAATAGACAAACATATTAATGATTAAAATGCCCTCTTAGGACAAATGGTAGCCCCTTCTTTGCATGTCTGGGTATTGTTTATTGGGGTGAGGGGGAGTCAAAGCCAACACCTGGTTCCTTATGGCCCAGTGGCACAGAGGGCAGCCTTGGGCATGCTGCCTTGTGGGCAGGAAGGAGGCCCCGGAGGATGGTGGCCTCTTGCCGGAGCTACTGGCCACCCACCTCTCCTTTCCCGTGGCGTGGTTCCCTGGCTCATCCTGTGCAGCAGAGGTCTTGATTCCTGCATCCTGATACTCAACGGCTAGCAAGGTAAGAAAGTTACGCACCGCACACGAACCTAGAGAACAGACACCCTTCACCCTTTGGGGCACCTGCGACCAAGTTTACGTGACAGATCCAGCTGCAGGCTGCCCTTGTTGGACCCAGAGCACTGAGACTCACTCAGAGGGGTCTCAGCTTTCCGAAAGCCAGGGACGGAAGCTGAGAGCGAGTGCCCTGAGCATCAGAGCCGGCTCTCCGCGGGCAGCAGAGTTTCACATGCTCCTATTAAAGATTGCCAGAGGCAGACAGTGACCTTTAGTCAGACAGTCCTTGTCCACGGGTTTAGAGTTCAGCCCAAAGCAAGTATATAAACCAAAACTCTTTCTTTGATTTTAGCTTCTTTAACATTTATTTGAAGTCTACATTTTTCTGATTTACTTCAAAAGATATTTCCCCCTTGTTTGCTGATAAAATTAAGACTCCAGCAACATATACTGTGTTTATCCTTTATCATCCCTGGCCTTTGGCACGTGCCCCCATTCCCCCACATCACTGCCTGCTGCGGTCCATTTCCATACAGCTCCAGGGCACAAGGACAGAGGTCAAGAGGGTGAACAGGCTGCCCGAAGTAACACGGGCTTGCTGAGCTGGTTCCAGGTCCCAGTCGACATGGCTCCAAACCCTTGTCCTGTAATCACTGTGTTGTATCTCAGGGGGTTCCCTGGATGTCAGATTGGCCTCTGGGTGGAGCTTGACTGTACAAGAGAACCACGCAGGAAGAGTGAGCAGGGAAGCCCTCCCCCAGGTGAGGACTGCCTCCAGCAGTCACATAGAGCCTACAAGGTGCCTGGAGGCTGGGGAGATTATATGACCCCCAACTGGGGACCCATGTTGCAGGTAGCCAGGACCAGATAGAGTGGGAAGAGGCAGCCCCTAACTCGTTTATAGCCTGCAGTCCATTCTGAGGCTTAATGTCAAAACACCAACTGTTGATGACAGTCCAGAGATCAGAGGCCAAATGGCCAGGCAGGACACGTGCTCTGTCTTGACTGTGTAGGAAGCAAGGTGGCCTTATGGCCCTAGGGATGCTCAGCACAGAGGGAAGATTGTCAGAAGCAGCCTGATGAGGAGCAGGCCTGGCCTAAATTCTCTGCAGAGACCCCACATGGCCTCTGGCCATCTCCTGGGGTATGAAACATCCACTTCAACACTCGCTGCTCCTCTGGTGTGTCCCCTGGGGGTGGAAGGAGCTTCCTCATTTGGGAGAGCTGGTATGACCTCTTGTCCTGGACTGAAGTCCCTCCCACGGGCTGTGCTCTGATCCCCAAGTGTGTTCGTGCACACACAAATGAATAACTATTCTTTTTAAAGGTGAAAAGAGAAGTGTTCGCTGATAGAGAGGGCAAGGTGTGTAACGCGGCCAACCCCTGAGCAGCCTTCAACTCACGGTGAGTCCAAAGATTCACGAGGAACTCTTTTACACAACAGAGAGATGAGGCCTGCCTTTGGGAGGATGGACAGGATTCCCTGTGGTCCCCTGAAATTAAAAAGAAAGAGGAGATCTTTAGCTGCCCATGTCCTTCATCTTCAGACGCTCCCCCAGCTTTTAATCGCCCATCCTGGGGCATGTTCTTGGAATCACCAGCAGGGGGAGCTAGGCCTCCATCTTGGTCCCAAGCCGCAGTTGGTGGGAAGGAACTTGTCCAGACAGGTACACTCCAGGCCAGGTGTGACTCAGCCCGGACAAGGAACCAGGAGTTCCATGAAGTCTGAACTAACTGGGTCTGAGTGTTTATTTATAAAGCCAATCACTATTTCCCAATCTGACTTCCTCTGGGTGTGTTTGTGGTTGGGAGTGTGTGTGTGTGTGTGTGTGTGTGTGTGTGTGTGTGTGTCTGTCCACATGTGTAACCCTGTCTGTGTGCAGGGGAATCAGTCCATGTCCTGGACTCTGGGCTGTGGCCAGGCAGGATGATCTCAAATCTTGGAGAAGGGGGCTGCCAGTGCTGAGGCAGGGCCGGGACCCCTTCTGTGAGACAGGAAAGATGTACAAGGATACCTCCTGCAGGAGAGGAGTCTATGGATGATTTCCATGGGGGCATTCACCTGAGATGGGCATGGTCTGAGAGGCACTGACTGAAGAACACAGTCTGGGCTTCCTCCTCAAGATGGGGCACAGACAGGAGCCTACAGAGTGAGGCTACTGAACAGTGACCATGGAGGGACAGCCTTGGAGAAGGACCAGGGGCAGGTGCTGGAGAGACTCCTCCACAGTGGCCTCCAGGAGCCTGGAGGAGGTGATGTAATCAGAGGATGTGTCTAGGCAGGTGACAGGAGACAGCTACACTATGACTCCTGTCCTTGAGGGACTGGTGGGTCACATGGTGGCTTTGATCATTCAGGGCTTTACAGTTTGCCGTATTTTTTTTTAACATACCCTGGTTCTGCAAGGAAGACCAGAAAGGTAAGCTCAGAGAAGCCCAGGAAGGAACCGCAGGATGCACAGCCAGCAGCAGGTCTAAATCCTCAGATCAAGTCTGAACTGGCTCCTTAGGTGGCCTCTGCCCCTCCTCCTGCCCCAGCTTCCTGAGGCAGAACCCTGGAGGCAGCCAGGCAGGGCTTGGTCTGATAACTCTGTAGCTTGTTTTGTTTTCAAACTCAGATTACCCAACCTGAATAACATCTAGAGACTTGGCCCTCAGTCACCACATATGTGGGAGGTGGGTGTGCAAGCAGACTGCTACTGTGATCCTGTGTGGTGAGTGTGCACGTCTGTCTAGAAGGCTGGTGTTGGGAGGATGTGTGAGTGTGTGCACACAGATTGGGTGCCCGGGGGTGGAAACCGGAGTCCCTGCCCCTGCCCTGCCCCCGAGCTAGAGTGCTGGCCATTTATCTGCTTAGGGCATCCACTCTGCGAAGGGAGCCTAGCAAGGCAGAGGAAAGAGCTTCTAGAAGGGTTGCTTCCCGTGTGAGAGGCGTGTGATGTGTGGGGAAGGCTGGGGAAAGGTGAGTCTCAGCTCCGCCATGTCCTAGCCCCTTAGCTCAGCACCCACAGCAGCCGCTTAAGCCCTACCTACCTTCTTTTCCTAATTGATGGAGGTATCACTTAACACTTCAGAGAGCTGCTGGGAGGAACAAAAGAGAGGATGTGTGCTGAACAGCCTCAAAAGAGCGGGTCTCCAAACCAGCATGGCTCCCGCTGCTGGCAGGAGCTGGGTGGTTGCCCTGTCTGCAGATGGCAGGTTTTCAGTCACCTTCTTCTGCAGAGCATTTCCTTTGTCCTGAGCCCTCCTCTTATCACATCATAGATAGGTACCCAGATAAGCCTCCGGGCACGATGTCATTAGCTTTTCATCTCGAGGTACTGTTATCCAAGATGGGCTTCCAAAGCCAGCGCCCGTGACGGCACACTACTGTGTGTGACCTTGGTGCACACTAAGCCTGTGAATTCTGGGTTCCAAGTCTGTCGACTGCAACTCTCTGCCCATGTGGTTGTGGAGAGGGTGGCAGCTGAAATGGCAGCCTCACTATGTTGCTCAGGCTAGCCTCCAAGCCCAGGGCTCAAGCTATGGCCTTAGCCCAGCAAGTAGCTGGGGGTATCAGCCCATGCCACAGCCATAGCAAGAGAAGACTGAGCCCAGACATGACGGGTCTCTTGTGTCTGGCACAGACAGCATGTAGAGACCTCATCGTCTTTACCTCCTGATATGACCCTTGTCTTCTTAAGCCTCAGACTCAGAGACTGTTATTCATGTAACATGGCATGCTGGCGACAGGGTTTTTACAAACAGAGCTCCTGAAGGCGTAGATAGACTTCCTGAGCAGAGCAGCGGGGAAATTCCTGTGACATTTCAGTCAGCTGTGTGGCTCTGGTATCGGGGTGGAGGCCACCAGATCGAGGCAGCCAGCGTACTTGAGCATATCCACCGAGCCAACATGTATGCACATGTACACAGACACGTATCTGTAATTAAATGATGATGATTACCATGGTGTGTGTGTGTGTGTGTGTGTGTGTGTGTGTGCACATGTACACAGACACGTATTTGTAATTAAATGATGATTACGATGGTGTGTGTGTGTGGGCACGTGCATGCATGTGTGTGTATACAGGTATATCTGCAGGAGTCAAAGTGCATTTATGGAGGTCAGAGAACAACTTTCGGAAGCCAGATTTGGGATTGAAGGCAGGTCATCAGCTTGCAACGTGCAACTTTGCCTGTTGAGCCATTGGACCACTGGCCTCCATCCTCCCTACATTAAAAAAAATCAGTTTCTTTGTTTCTGGCTGTCTCTCTCCTCACTAATAGGATTCAAAGGATAGAGGGTCATGGAATCAGGTGGGGGAAAGCTAACCTCTTTCTCTGCCTCTAGCCAGAATGGGCCTGGAACCACTGGCTGGGGGGGTCCCCCTCCCATCCCACTGTGGTGCCAACTTGGCCCTCAGTTTGGCCTTTACAGGCTCTGGAAGCTGAACATCTGCTTGGGTGTCCTAAGTGGGCCTGGGATGTGACAGCTACATTTCCTGGCCCCACCCCCAGTCTGCTGGGTGAGGAAACTGTTGCTGGGATGAGGGCAGCTCAGGAGCTGGTTGGTCGAGATGCCCTCGGGGTATGGAGGCTCCTGCCAAAGCCTGTCTGGGTGTATTTATAGACCAGTGCACACACAAGCAGGGGGAGAGCGCTGGGTATTTCCTGGAAACATGCTCACTCTCTCTGTTATAGAAGACTTTCTGGGGAGGGGGTCCTGATCCAGGGAAGGAGCCTCGCTGCCTTAATGTCTGCCCTCCATGAGAGGAGAGTTCTTTGGGAAGCTCAGGCCTGACACTCTTCACTCCATTTCCACCCCCAGTGGCCCCCGAGAACCTGTAGTGGCCCCCTGGCCCCAGGATGCTCTCTGTTGCTCCTATTCCTGCCAGGCCTGCTCACATTCCTCCCAACCCAAATGCTGGGCTCACTTCCTCCAAGTGACTGTGCCTCTCTGTTCTCGCCCGCCATGCAGGGACCTTGCCCAGACTTGTTCTTCTGTGAAGTTTTACTCCTTTCCTGAGAAGCGCCACACTTGGTACGTCCTTTGAAATGTCTTTTCTTACTTCCCAGTCACAGGCATATGACATGTTTCTTCTTCATAACTAAGACCCCACCCATTTATCTCACCGTTATTTTTAATGATCTGCATCTCTCTCTCCAAACCATGCTCGTCAGAGTCAATAACTAGGCCTTGCACTACTTTGTAGTTCCACCTGTGTGTCGCCCAATGGGGGCCCAGGAGCAGGGAATGGGGCCTCCATGGTGTAACTGCCGTCCCTCTAGGCTTCCTTCCTTCAGTGGAAGACTTGGCGTAAGCGGCTTCTGCAGCTCTGATTACCGAATTTGCTAGCTACGTGATTCCCTACGTTTCTCAGCTCTCCAAATGAGAATTTCCTAATCTGCAAAGTGGGACATCAAAGGGGGGGGGGGATCCTTACACTGTTAAGGGGAAGCTGAAGGGGCTCCATGTCATGGGTCTCACAGAGCACCCGAACACAGACACACACCGTCAGCATATCCTCTTTCAACTCTCCAACTGCTGACAGCCCAGCCCAAGTCACGGTCCTTCCCGCTGCTGCCGTCCCACGCTGCCTGCCTGATCTCTGTCTGCCTTCACCTTTATCCCACTTCATGTTTTCATCACAGCTGTCAGACATGATCCCTTAAAATATGCCGTGTGTTGGGACTCCTCCCTCACCTCTTCACCGAGGGAAACGGCCTGTGTCCTCGCTGCGGTCCTGTAGGAGCTGACTCTTCACAGCTCTGCTTCCTCTCTGCCCAGCTTGCTTTCCCATCTCCGGCCACACTGCCCTGGCCCAATGCCTTCCCGCTGGCTGGGTTCTTCTCATAGACCTGGGGCCTCCCTGCTTAAGAGTCTTGAGCCCATGAGACGCTCCCTGACGACCCAGTCTAAACCCATCTCTGAGCCAGGCGTAGTGGGGCACACCTTTGAGCCCAGCACTTGGAGGAGAGAGGCAGGTGGATCTTTGTGAGTTCGAGGCTAACCTGGTCTGCAGAGGAGGTTCCAGGACAGCCAGGGCTACATAGTGAGGCCCTATCTTGAAAAAGAAAGAAAGAAACAAAAACAAAAAAACTCGCCTCCGATATTTTCTGTCCCTTTTCTCTGCCTTTCACTAACTAGACACAAACTAGAGTTATTTGGGAAGAGGAACTTCAACTGAGAAAATAATTCTATCAGATTGCCTGTAGGCAAGCTTGTAGGGGATTTTCTTGATTAATGATTGATACAAGAGGCCAAGTCCACTGTGGGTGGTGCCACCCCTACAAAAGTGGTCGGAGCAGTACAAGAAAGCAGGCTGAGGAAGCCATGGAGAGCAAGCCAGGAAGCAGCATCCCTCCCTGGTTTCTGCTTCTTTAGTTCCTACCCTGGCTTCCCTCTGTGATAGATTGTGTGGCCTGAGAAGTTTAAGATGAAATAAACCCTTCCCTCCCCGAGTTGTTTCTGGTCACGATCTTTATTGTAGCAATAGAACGCAAACCAAGACAGATGTTAACACACATTTTTATGGTGTGTATTCACTTGCTCACCGTCTCCCCCAGTGGAACGTGAGCACCACAAGAGTGGGGATTTTGTCTGAAGTGTTTGTGTGTGTCCCCAGCCTCTGTAATACCTGATTAAATAAATGTTCTGTAAATGACTTATTAAAGAAAGAGATCAGGTCTTGGGAGTTTTACTGGAGTTTAATTTCCCCCTCTGGGCATGAATGGGGAAGCCTGAGACCATGGGGA